ATAGTTTGATGTTCGGAAGCACAAGTGGCCAAACTTTTTTGATGATCGGACATAGATGATTTTGTAGCTTTTAAAAAGTACTATCGATTCGTTAATACCAGAAAAAATGTTCATTCCGATAATGCGGACATTTTTGTTTCACAAAGTACAGCAAACATGAATTTTGAGTGAAAAATCCGCTACCGAAAATAGTTTGATGTTCGGAAGCACAAGTGGCCAAACTTTTTTGATGATCGGACATAGATGATTTTGTAGCTTTTAAAAAGTACTATCGATTCGTTAATACCAGAAAAAATGTTCATTTCGATAATGCGGACATTTTTGTTTCACAAAGTACAGCAAACATGAATTTTGAGTGGAAAATCAGCCACCGAAAATAGTTTGCTATTGGAAAGCACAAGTGGCCAAACTTTTTCGATCACCGGACATAGAGGATTTTGTAGCACTTGAAAAGTTCTATTGATTGGTTAATGCCAGAAAAAATGTTCATTCCGAAAATGCGGATCTTTTCTTTTTACAAGATATAACAAGCATGAATTTTGCCCAAAAAATGAGCTATCGAAAATAGTTTGGTTTTTGAAAGCACAAGTGACCAAACTTTTTCGATGACTGAACACAGAGGATTTTGTAGCTTTTGAAAAGCGCTATCGATTGGGTAATACCAGAAAACATGTGTATGTGATTTTTAAGGGTGAAATTCTTTCATAGGGAATACCAGTGTACTCATAGTCCATAGGAAAACTGAGGTGTTTTGGTTATTTGCTGGAAGTGTTGGAAAGTGATTGGAAACCCTTCACAATTTGGTATCAAAACGATCGTCTCAATTCGCCCTTTCATTCCTTAAGCGATGAGACTTGATTATAAGATAAAAACCTAATGGGCCGATTTGTGGTCTTATCCGCCCCCATCCTTTCTTTTGAGTTGGTGAGGAGTGAAAATAAAAAGATTTGATACGGAAAATAGCAATTAGAGAAGCAACTGCATAATGATGTAAGTTTATAAAATAAATTTGGATAGAGCATACACATTCTACCGTCAGAGTTGTAGTAGGATTTTCGAAAAGAATAAAGTTCGAGTTGAATTGGACTTTGAAACATAGAGGTGTAGTCGAGTTTAGGAAATAGGAGTGAACTTATTACAGTAGCACTCAGTCAAATTTGTCTATCTGTGACTGTTTCTCACTGTTTCTAGAGCATTCCTTATATGGATACCAACCCGACTAGTCGTTTCAATACTAAACTATTTTAGTAAGCCTTTGTGATATTTTATATTAAAAACAATTCCATATGATTCAACTATTATGTAGTAACATTGCAAAGATCGAGAAAGGCATTGGTTTTGAATTTTTAATGTTTCTCGGAGTGCTACTCTTCATCGCTAGTTGTTTAATAGCATGTTTTATTATCAATTGGAAGTTGACTTTGATCATGTCATGTTTGATGCCTTTGGTTATTGGTGGCTCATTTATATTTTCTAAGGTATGAAGTTTTGTTCATTCAGTTATATCTGTATGAATTATCACAGCTCACTGTTAATGAAACAATGAATGAGCTAATGACATACTCGAAAGCAGGACAAATTGTTCAAGAAGTGTTTAGTTCACTGCGAACTGTTCTTTCTCTCAATGGTAGCAGATTTGAGCAAAAACGGTAAACGAATATATAAAAATAGTTTATTCAATTAATATCATAGAACATGTTGTTATTTTTATTGCATTTAGATATGAAAGAGAATTGTATCCAACTTGTTACAGTAGTATACGCAAAGGCATCGCGCTTGGGGTTTTTATTGGATGGGTATCTCTGACAGGCTACTTAGTTTATGCAGTTGGTTTTATCTTTGGTTCTCTCCTTATGTCACAGAAAGCTTCCGACAGTTTAAATATTACTGATGTTCTTGTCGTGAGTAACTGATACAATACACTTTATAACGAAATAAATATACGATTACTATCATAATGCAGGTCGTCTCTATCTTTGCGTCATGCTTCTTTCACCTCAGTGCTGTTGCTCCATTGTTTCAATCATTTTCAGAAGCTCGAGGTGCAGCATCATCAGTATTTCGACTTATTGATGAGGTAAATCCAACTAAATTCAGGTCTGATATTGGTAGTAATGTTCTATATTTGTCTGTATGATATAGGGAAATAATGTAACTATCAATGAAACAGATGTATGGAAAGAGGATACAGAATCGACATATAATAATATCAATGGTGATATTGAATTTGACAATGTCAACTTCATTTATCCCTCTCGAAAAGATGCTCCAATACTGCGTAATCTCTCTCTTATTGCTCGTGCTGGTCAGACAACTGCTCTTGTAGGTTCAAGTGGTTGTGGTAAGTCTTATCCAAAACAACGATGTTATAATGATCTCATTTATTTTCATAATTAATTCACAGGAAAAAGTACATGTTTATCATTATTTCTTCGTTACTATGAACCTTCGTCTGGTCGAATAATGATCGGCGGTTGTTCAATAACAGACTACAATATCCAACGATTTCGGCAAAACATCGGAGTTGTTAGTCAAGAACCTGTATGCTTTCTTCTTCATTTCTCTGTCCTCCCTTTCTACTTAGGGCAATCCAAAAGTAGTGTCGTCAGGGTCTTATTACCTTATTATAAGGGAAAAAATTTTCTCTTTTTTATAAATAGATAGAGCGTCTTTCGCTCTATCTTTCTATGCTATTTGATCGACCTTCACTCAATATTGAAATAAGAAAACCTTGGTAAGAACAGTTTTTGTTGGAAGCTGGCTGGTGGTATTACATTATATTATCATCCTTGTATGCTTTTTTCTCGTTCTTTTCTTATTTTTCTCTTATCTTTTTTCCCTTTTTCCTCATCTTGCCATGTGATTGACCGCGTATATAGTTTAGTCTGCAAAATGTGATAATGATGCAAAATAAAAAACAAAAGGAACTCAACTAATGTTTATTTTATCAAATGTTCAAAATAATCCCCTTTATTATCTATACATAACTGCATTCTTTGCAACCATTTATCGAAAGTCTTTTTATATTCTTCTTTGCTCAGTGAGTACATAAACTTGGTGACAGCACCACGTAATGATTCTGAATCATTATGATCATCCAGATTTTCTTTGATTAAGTCGAATAACCAAAATTCACATGGTGCTAGGTCTGGAGAATTAAGTGGATGTGGCATTATTCTAATTCCTTCCGATTCAAGATAGTTGGTCACATTTTTATGAACATGTGGTTTTTCGTTATCGTGATGATTTATGATATCACGAGTACCAGAGGACGGTCTTTGACAGTTGATTTCATCGACAAGAGGTCGTAAACAATTGTTGATATAATAATGGTGATCCATTGTTTGTCCCCTTCCCATATGATGAATGAGGACAGAACCGTTTGACTTTAAAAAAATGGAAAATAATGTTCTTGGAGCAAACTTACTGCGTCGAATTACAACAGGTGGAGGATCTCCTCTTGACATCCACGCAGCGTTTGATGATTTGCGACCAATCTGTTGATGATAAAACCATGACTCGTCACCAGTTATTACATCACAGAAACGCCATGTTTCTTTTTGGAATTTTGCTAAATTTTCCTTGCATATTCGAACTCGCTCTGACCGTTGAAAATCATTAAGAAGCTTGGGTACATAACGAGCGATAAGTTTCCTAAGCTTTAAATGATCTGAGATGATTCTCTGGACAGTCCTATAACTTAAATCAGTTTGCTCCTGTACTTCCGCAATTGTAATGTGAGGGTCATGATCGATTAGAAGACGAACTTGTTCAATATTTTCAGCTGTAGTTTCAGTGATTGGTCTTTCAGGTCTTGCTTCATCTTCAACTTCTTCTCGCCCTTCACGAAAACCATTTAGACCATCTTTGAACTGTTCTAAGAGAAGGAGCTTGATCACCGCAAACAGAAGATAATTCATCATGAATAATGCTTGGTGAAATGTTAAATGCGGTACGCACTTTAATATAGAAGCGAAAGTTTTTCGTGGTCATCTGAAAACAATAGACACGGTAAATGCTCAATCCAGCTTAAATTATTTTGGTTGTGTCAAAATATCGCAGCAAATAACACATATATGCAAGAAAGACAAAACATGACGTATCTCTCAACATATATGTATGCATAGACAACTAATCGCATGGCAAGATGAGGAAAAAGGGAAAAAAGATAAGAGAAAAATAAGAAAAGAACGAAAAAAAAGCATACAAGGAAATAATATAATGTAATACCACCAGGCAGCTTCCAACAAAAACTGTTCTTACCATGGTTTTCTTATTTCAATATTGAGTGAAGGTTGATCAAAATAGCATAGAAAGATAGAGCGAAAGACGCTCTATCTATTTATAAAAAAGAGAACATTTTTTTCCCTTATAATAAGGTAATAAAACCCTGACGACACGAATTACTGAACAAATCTCGAAAACGAAAATCTCGAACCAAAATCTCGAGAAAAATTTTCAGTGCAAACTCAAAAATGCAGGTTTAGGAAGTCAAAATTTTACAATTATTTCATAAACTTCTTAGGAAGAAAATGTGGGGGTGGTGTAGGTGTAGTTTTCCTCTGGTCCTTGCTCACACCTCCACCTCCACCCAACCGGTTGGTTGCAAAATTTAATCGCAACTTGTGGCATTTGTTTGATTGCTTTCGTACCGAAGAAGGTTGTCTACGGCAAACAATGTTGAAGATGGCTACGGGAGATAAAAAACAAGACAGCAAGAAAATAGCTGATTTTCAAGAACGACTTGCTTCACTTCAATCTCAATTTGATGGCAAAATGATAAAAATCGATGAACTTTTTTAAGGATTAACTCTATTGGTAGCAACAAAAATTTAAAATATCTGTTTTTTTTTCTTTTACAATCAAACGTTTATTTGATCGATAAATCGTAGTAGAATTTTCTAAGTACAATAAAGCATTATCCAATGATTACCGTTCTACTGCTTAATATATAGTTCTAGCTTTTTCTAGTATTTTTAATATTTTTTCGAGTTTTTCTATTTTCTATTTTTTTTCTTTCGAGATCGAAAATTTTCGAGATGATGAGTTTTCGAGATGATGAGTTTTCGAGATGATGAGTTTTCGAGATGATGAGTTTTCGATATTTTACTTTGTCGAGATTTTGTCTTTCGAGATTTTTTTTCGAGATTTGTTCATCGTACCGACGACACTACTTGTGGATTGCCCTAAGTATTTGTTTTCACTATTGTAATAGATTCTGTTTGATACAAGTGTTTATGAAAATATTCGTTTTGGTAAACTAAATGCGACACAAGCAGAAATTGAACAAGCAGCAAGAGATGCAAATGCACATCATTTCATCATGCAATTACCACATGTCTGCGCCGAAATTTCATCTTTATTCTATCTATGTGTATCATTTCTTGTTTAGAAATATGAAACAATTGTTGGTGAACGTGGTATACAATTGAGTGGTGGTGAAAAACAACGTATTGCACTAGCTCGTGCTCTTGTTAAGCAGCCTACATTCCTTTTACTAGATGAAGCAACAAGTGCACTCGATAGCATTAACGAAAAAATTGTTCAAGAAGCACTCGATCGAGCATGCAAAGGTAACAACTGTTTTATCTGCTTATCTTATTGATATATCATTTCATAAAGATCGTACAACTATTGTTATTGCTCATCGTTTGACTACAATTCAAAATGCTCATCAAATATATGTATTAGATAATGGAAGTGTGATTGAACAAGGTACACATGAAACATTGATGACAAAAGAAGAAGGCAAATATCAATCAATGGTCAAGTGTCAACAAATGGAAAGAATCGATGATGATAAAGATAATATATTGAGCATGCAAAAAGCAACAGAAGAGGAAGAAAAGTCGATATGTATGTTACTATTTCAATAGTGATAGTCTTCACTTTTCTTTCTCTTTTTTCTTTAATAGTGGAATGCTCTCGTTTGCTAAGCAATAGTCAAACTGTTGACGTGAACAAAGTATAAATACTATAGCAATTATTTATAAGAACTATTATTGATATTCTCCTCTTTTTTCTAGCAAAGTTCAAAGACATTCAAACAAAGATTTGTTTTTTTAAGACTCTTGTCAATGAATAGTCCTGAATGGATCACCATCTTGGTTGGTTGTATGGCGTGTATACTTAATGGAGCAGGTCAACCATTGTTTGCATTTTTACTTGCTAAAATAGTGGCTGTGAGTGATCTACCCATAAAAATATTCTGCAAAAAAGATTGACAATATAGGGTGTCCAGAAAGTTATTAACCAAAGAAAAATTTGAATATCTTCATTGTGCTTCAATGAAATGAGCTAATTTTTTCTGAGGGTAAAGGATAGCTTCAAGTTTTTATTCACTCATGAACCGTGCTTTCATATACATAAAAGCAGCAAATCTTTATCCGCTATATCATTAAACAGCTTTAATCAAGATTTATTTACCATCTGTAAATAGTTCTGCTGTTGTGATTTTTTTGTTAAACACCAAATGACCTGCTACGTTTAACCATTGTTGTACAATGTTTTCATGATTGCTTCAACAATGAAGGACTATTTCTTTCATACTTGTATTGTTGCAATATACATCAGTTATACTCCTTGACAGATAAAGAAAAAGATATTCTACAATTTCGACTTAAAGCTATGAGTGGAAAACGTTGGTGCTTTGTTTAGTGATATAGTGAACAAAAGTTTACTAGTTTTATGTGCATGAATGGATTGTTGATTAATAAACTAAAATTTGAAACTGCCATTTATCATCAGAAAAAGCCAGCTCATTTCATTGAAACACAGTAAAAATATTCAAATTTTTCTTTGACTAATGATTTTTTGGACACCTTATATACATCGTCTTATGTCGATTTGTTTTATTGTGTAGGCATTCAAATATTGTTCAAACTCTGAACGAAATCGTCAAGTGTTGATTAATAGCTTTATCTTTTTACTTTTGGGTGCTGCTATATTGGTTCTTCGTTTCCTTCAGGTAAAAATGCTGCTTCTGAATTTGATCCATGATTTATTCGTTCTTTTATATAG